AGCCAACTGCCTGCACGTCCCTGGGCTCCGGCAGCAGCTGCCAGTGTTGGGATTTTGATGCTTCCTTTGCGGGAAGCTGCTCTCACCTTAACTCCCTCTTCCTTCACCTCTTCAGGGGCACTACGCCGTGATGAACAACCCCACCAGGCAGCCCCTGGCTCTCAACATCGCCTACAGGTCTGTCGCCGTTCCTTGACGGGACCCAAACCGGAGACAAAGCATATGATGTGCAAACTGCAGACTTTCTGCCTGTGTTTCTGTGCTGGAACTGTGCAGTCTTATCCTAAAGAGTGTTCTCCTGTAGGCGCTGCCTTCAGATCCTGGCCGCGGGGCTCTTCCTCCCTGGATCTGTCGGCATCACTGATCCCTGCGAGAGCGGCAACTTCAGAGTCCACACAGTCATGACCCTCGAGCAGCAGGTGAGCTGCCTCGTCTGCCACGGGCCAAGGGGCCGGAACCCGTCCGCGGTCTGACTCTTCCCCATCCTGGCAGGACATGGTGTGCTACACGGCGCAGACGCTCGTCCGGATCCTCTCGCACGGAGGCTACAGGAAAATCCTCGGTCAAGAGGGCGACGCCAGCTGTAAGTGGGGTCGGTGCTACGTGCGGGTCTTCCTCCGCACAGGCTGCAAACGTCTCGGTGGGGAAGCGGGGCTGGTTTTCTGCGTTGCCAGGAAAATTAAGGGCTTCAAGGAGAGGGGAGTCGCTCAACCCCAGAGCGGTGGGGAGGCGAGGTGGGGTGTTGTGCTTCCCTGGCACATCCTGGGGATGGGGCTCGTCTGAGGTCCCCCCGATGGTTCTTGGGGTGAGCTGCCCGCTCACTGCCCCTGCTTCTGCAGACCTGGCTTCCGAAATGTCCACCTGGGATGGAGTGATAGTGACACCTTCCGAGAAGGCTTATGAGAAGCCTCCGGAGAAGAAGGAAGGAGAAGAGGAAGAGGAGAATCAGGAAGAACCTGCTACAGGCGAGGAGGAGGAAAGCATGGAGACGCAGGAGTGACTCGCTCAGGTAAAGCCCGGCAGTGCCGCTGCCTGGGAGGAGGCAGCTCTGGGCAGGGGAGGGAACAGTCCCGGCTGCCTGCGCCCCAGGGCTGCGCTCCCCCCTCAGCAGCCCCTTTCTGCCCCTGCAGCAGGACCCCCTGGCTGTGGGGGTGAAGAACCAAGTTGAGAACCAGTCCTCGGCAAACGCAGCCAGCTGACGCGGCCTGTCCCTCGGGTGTGTTTTTGTAAGTTGCACATTAAAGTGTTTCCCCCTTTCCCGCGTGTTCTGTTTAGGGAGAAGATGCGCATAAGGAGGGGGTTCAAAAAACACCCGACAGCGGGAGGGGGTTCCAGGACTTGAAAGACCCCACTCAGGGGTGCTGAACCCTGACCCACTCTCTGCCGTCAGCGTAAGGCTGCGGCCGTGCCGCAGGAGCGTTACAGACTCACGCCACCCCACCAGCCCACAAACACGTGGTCGCTTTTATTACAGCGCCTACAAATCTAGAAATACAGTTTGGGGTCCCCTGGTTCTTTCAGCTGCAGCTGAAGAGCTGTGGCCTCACCGTGCAGGACGTTGCACCCCTCCCGTGCTGCAGGATACCTGCTCCCCTCGCTGTCCTTACAGGGTCACGCCCGTCACCGTCCGGGGCCGCTCCTGCTCCGGCCCAGCTCCCGCGAGCTCACAGCGCAGCCATGGTGCAAGGCAGCTCCGGCCCGGTGCTGCTGCGGGGGCCTC